ACAAGTTGTCGGTAGATGGTAGATAGGTATGAATGTATGTATAGGTATCACTATAGATACAGATATAAATATACAGATGTGGATATAGACAAAAATAAATACAATGTTTATCAAGAGAAAAACAGATTATTTTGTAACATCTCTGTGTGTAATTGTGATTTTTAATAATATTTCTATGTGTTGATTACTTAATAAATTAATAAATAAAAGAAAAATAAAACATTATAATGGAAGTCAATATTTATTGAGCACATACCGTGTATCTTATATGCTTCTAAATAATTTACATGCCTTACCTATTTAATTGTAATTTTGCTACTCTTCAGTCCTTAGTCCTTATTATCTTAGTCTGTTCATCCTACTGTAACAAACCACCATAGACTGGGTGGCTTAAACAACAAAAGCTATCTCTCATAGTCTGGAGGCTGGGAAGTCCTAGATCGCGGCACTGGCAGATTTGATGTCTGGTGGTGCCCTGCTTCCTGTTTCACAGATGGCTGTCTTCTCACTGTATCCTCCATAGCAGAAGAAACAAGGGAGCTCTCTGGGGCCTCTTTTATAACAACATTATTCCTGTTCATGAGGCCTCAACCCTCCTGACCTAATCACCTCGCAAAGCCCCGTCACCTAAATGCCATCACATTAGGAGTCAGTATTTCAACATATGAATTTGGGTGGGGGGAAGGGGGCAACTTGCAGCCCATCACCATTATTTATGCTGTAGATTATAAGCATGTGAATTTTTCACACTGGAATGTTAGAAATAAATAATAATGTAATTTCACATTTTTATGGAGTCCATGGACCCTCTGAGGCTGTATCATGGGGGGTGTGTGTGTGTGTGTGTGTGTCTGTGTGTGTGTTTTCCTGGGGAGCAGTTACTTAGCTTTTAATCAGATTGTGGGATGAGTTAATACCATCCTCTGATAGTTTTAGTCAAACTCACCATTCATTTCTTTAGTATTGAAAACTCCACTACCAAGGCAAGATACTAAGAGCAAGCAAAACTATACAGTGAAAATGAATTTATTGTTTTCACCTCATTAATCTACCCAAGGCAGTTGGTAAAGATAGCAAGCAGCAACAGCGTGACCTCAGGTCACATTTTCAAGCAGGCTAGGAAGAAACAGGAGTTAGGGAGGTCAGCAGGTGCCAGGAGTGTTCTAGCTTCCATGAGGGTGGATATAGGATTCCTAACATAGTTATCTGATTTACCCTATCAGTCTGGGTATCTTGTAACAACGTTATTTTTATTTTCAATTCTGTCATTTAAGATCTAAAACTGTAGATGATTCAAAGCACATTCATAGTTGACTTTGGGATATGTGTTTGTATTATTAAAATATGAATAAATGCATCTGTGCAGAACTTCAGCACTTTAAAGAAAGGAATAAGGCCATTCCATGAAAACATGTATGAAGAAGAGCCAAATAGCTAGCTACTCTTTGGATTCATCCTTGTTACCTGTATGGGCAGCTGGTTCTCTCCTCAGAATGATGATTTTATAGATGAGGAAACTGAGCAGGAAACTGAACGCTAGAGAGATTAAATTGCCTATATTCACATCACTCATAAGTGGCATAGCTGTGATTTAAACCCAAGTCTTGCTGACGTGGGAATCTGCATCCATGGGCATCATGTTGTGTAACTGACTACTTTCAGAATATTACGGAAAAGTTGATGAAATATAGATTCCAGCCTAATAATCACTCCAGAAGTAATGTATCCATATCATTGGGGGTAGGGGGGGAACATTTTTAACAGCCTTCCTTGGTGATTCTGGAATGTAATATAGATTGAAAAGCATAGCTTTACACCAGCTTATTTCTGCATCAGAGGGGAGATCATGTAGCAAGTTCTTATTTATGATTTTACTTTTTGGTAGCATTTAATGCTACTGACCACCCTCCTTGGGATTCTTCTTAGCCTTCTATGTTTTCTTCTAATGTCCCCTTTACCCTGCTAACCATTGCTCTCAGTCTTCCCTAACATGGCTTCTCTCTGCCTTCAGTTCCTTGGTGTGCTGGCCATGGCCTTTTTTCTCTGGTGGCTCTCATTATCTTTGCTTATTGAGGCTTTATAAATTACTCTCTCTCCCCACCTACAATTCTCTCTCAAGTTTCAATACCTTATTTTTATCATTCTTCTAAATCTACAGATGCTGATGTATCCTTCACGTCTTAAATTTAGCAGGCCTAAAATTGAACTCATTATCTTCTTACCCCAAACTTTCTGTCACCGTTTTCCTCTAGTGTAGTTAACGCTGTCACTACTCAGCCTCCTGAACTCAAAACTTCAAAGTTGCATTCCGACTTTCCTTTTCCTCACTGTCTCTATTCAGTCAGTCAGTCATCAAATCTTGTTATTTCCATCTCAGAAATGCCATTTGAATCGATCATTCTTTTCTCTATTTCCACAGAATTTCATCATCTGTTTTACACTGGATTCCATACTGGTTTTCCTACCATTCAGCTTTCCCTGGTATCCAGTCTTTTTTCCACATGGTACCAGAAATATTTTAATAATAAACACATTTGAAATTCTCATGTCCCTACTTTAAAATAGCCTTTGATTCCCTAATGCCTGCAATATGAGGTACGAAATGTATACAGTTCATCCTAATGGTCCTGCTTTATCTCCTTACTGCAAGTCTTATTTTGTGGCTAAACTAAACTTTTCACTACATCTCACTTTCTCACTCAGATACATTTGTGCATGTCATTCCACTAATTTGGAATCTCTGTCCAGGTATGAGAAGTTGGTCATTCTTGGCCCTGGATTTCTATAGAATTTACTTGGGCACAACATGCGATAGTAGTAATTAAGAGTCAGGGGCTGAAACCAGACTGTCTGGTTCACAAGGCCCAACCCCTTAATTACTGTGTAACATCTTTGTGCCTCCGTTTCCTTATCTGTAAAATTGAAATAATAATATTACCTACCTTAGACAATTGTCGAAGATAGGGTTAATTCATGTGCAATGCTTACAATGGTGCCTGGCACGTATTAAACAGAAATTAAGCATGTGCTGCTGCTTCTACTATAATCCTGAAGAGAATGGTGTAACAGTCTCCATGAAAGAGGGCTAAAGGAATTGCTCATTGTGCTGCTGCTTCTACTGTCATCATGATGACAATGATGTAACAGTCTCCATGGAAGAGGGTTAAAGGAATTGCTTATTAATACTGGGATCAACCCAGAGATCCATGGCTGTCCCCCCAAAAAAGTATTTTGCCTATAGGAAGCCTGGATCCAGTTTGTAGGCTAACATACTATCTCTACCTCATGGCATTTCTAGTCTCTCGTAAATCACCGACTAGTTAAAATCCCACTAGTCATTGGATTGGTATGTGGACATATACTTGTTCCCAGACTGGAAGTCCCTTCATTATCAGTAAAGATTGCTCCAGTTGCAATTCCAGAGGTACATTATTTTGCTAGTTTCATGGTTGAAGGAGTAAGCTGTGCCATGGGTATACCTTGGGCTGGTGTGAATCAGACTTTAGACCTAGGCAGGACCTTTAAATACAGCAGAGGGACATTCCTCGTGTCAATTTAAAGCATCCAAAAGTAAATATAGCCTCATAAAGTCGGCTCTCTGCTATGACATGCTGTGGACAACATCATAAGAAATATCATTTAGACTGAAATTTGAATTAAGCAAAATGTTTGTAGACCCTTTTATTTTTAAGAAACTGCTATACACCTATTTATTTGGGTGATATTTTTGTTTGGATGAATGTGGTCCTGAAAAGTTAAATGTAAGTTGCAGAATTTCTTAGCAAACTTCACTATTTAAAGCACCTCTGCAGTAAATTATTTTGAATTACATCCTAGCTTATTAGTTTTTATTTATTATAATATTACTATGCAGTTTATTTGAAGTAGGACACATTTGTATTGGCTATGATACTTTCTAACTCATTGGAGAAATTTATAGCATTAATTAGAAATTTGCAGCATTAATTAGAAATTTGTAGCACTAATTAGAAAATCACAGCAATAATTAATTGTAGCACATGAAAGAAAATTTTGGAAAGTAGCATTTAATTTTTAGGGAAAGAAAAGAAGGCTTAAAGTAGAGATGGAACTTGAGGGCAACAATAAGAACCAATTGGTTAGATGACTAATATCTAAAATTGCTTCTCAGAATGGAAACTACGTATTTGTTACTGTTTTATTTTATTTTTTAAGTTTATTGGGTTCCTGGTTCTGATCATTATAGTGAGAGATAATATTATATAGATCCCCAGCCAGGGCTCTCAGCTGTACACACAGAAGAATAAGCATAAGCATTCGGGCACACTTGAAATGAAAGGTACATATCTAGTAGTAACAAATAGATCTGAAAAAGAAATATGGAAAGTTAATAATAAAAGTAATGGCTTGAGTTTCCTTAGCAGCTGAAGTTTATAAGGTATTTGCCTAATGTGATGTGGTAGGAAAAACTGGATTTTATTGGGAGGAACTCAATTTTAATGGTTGCTTTCCCACTGTGTGAAGCTGGGCGAGTCTTTTAACCGGCCAGAGCTTTGGATTTCTTGTCTGTGAAATGAATATAATAGAGAGTTCCTTTGAGGATCAAAAAATAACCTACATACAAAGCCTTTGGAAATTGTCAAGCGTTGTACAGATTTCAGAGATTATAGAAATCGAGATTTCAGAAATTACTCTGAGATCTCAGAGATTGTTTCAGAAATGAAATAAGTATGGCATCAATAATTGTCTTCAGTTTGTGCTTGAGGAAACCGGATGTGCCACAAGTAATGAGCAGCCAAACTGAAGCTGGACCCCGGGCTTCTGAGTCCAAATGTGGTTCTTTCTGTGCTAGACCATTGCTATTTTTGAGCTACACCTGTACATCATTCGCAGGACACAGGTCTAGTAAATGATAGCCTAAACTGAATTTTAAAAACATTAAAAACGTATAATTATTGATTTATTATTAGTAAGAAATTCTAATATTACAAGGTGACATTTACATTTGTGTTTTAATGCAGGTAATGAATTTGGGCATCCTGAATGGTTAGACTTCCCAAGAAAAGGAAATAATGAGAGTTACCATTATGCCAGACGGCAGTTTCATTTAACTGATGATGACCTTCTTCGCTACAAGTTCCTCAATAATTTTGACAGGGATATGAATAGATTGGAAGAAAGATGTGGTTGGCTTTCAGCTCCACAGGTAAGCTCTTTACTCTGAATGCTGTGTTTTAGTCACCAATGATGAACATGCTTAGAATGGCAACCGATTTCAATCCATATGCAGGTCTTTTAAACAGCATTTTATTATTCAGTGTGTAGTGTCCTGTAACATACTTCAGGTTGTCAAAACATGCCACTGAAGTCTCTCCAATTGATAATGAAAATCTTAAACATAATGGCCTGCTTAGTTTCCTGGTTTGTTTGTTGTTACTGTTTAAATTTAGTCATTTGTATTTTTATTGGTGAAAATAAACAATAAAAGTTCTGCAGGGAACCCATTTTGGAAATTGCTGTGGAAACATCTTAATTGTTTTGACCACTTTTTTATGTAAATAATTATGCTGTCATAAAGCAACTACTTTGACAACATGTAGATTTCTTTATTTCTTTTTTTTTCTCTTCTTTACTGGTCTCTAACTTGTAATTTCAATAGATGCCATTATACCTGCATGCTGTTTTGTGTTTTTCATGAGACTGTCTGTCCTCTGGAATTAACGTCTCAGTTTTCAACATATTTTAGAAAATGTAATCAACAAGTGAAAATTTTATACAGGCTTCTTTTTTCTTGGCAAAAATTAACATGTAATATGTCTTTGTTATAATCCATTTACTTTATACTGGAGCTGTTTGAAATTACTGTTGATGTGTTTTTACTTTGGTGTCTATGATTCTTTTTTTTTTTTTAATGGCTGAGCAAAGGTATTTATATATTCAGTAAGATTTGCTCCATGACATGAATGCCCTAATCACGTTTATTAGAAATGCTGTTTCCAGAAGAGAGAGCAAAATGATGCTCCTTTTCAATAGGAACAGTGTTGAATACCAAAAGGCACCCCGTTTACTCTAGAGCTTTAGTTCACTTTCTAAATTACCAAGAGTGCTGCTGCTGATGACATGCACAGCAATAAGTCCTCTCAGAGCTCGGGCTGAGTGAGGATGGAGTTGGAAAAGCAAAGACTTTTCACAGCCAACTGAAAATACATGATGATGAATAAAAGAAGAGAGTTTACAGATATAATTTCTTTTCAGACCTTATCTTTTTATTAAGAAAAAAAGTGTTGTAATTGACTTTAGGTTGCCATTGAATCTGACAAAGTTGGGTAAAAATGGAAAATGGTTAAGAGAGCTATAATTTCAGAAACTACGTTAAAATAACAATGTTACATTACATTTTGAAAAGTAATTTTATATACCTAACCGCATTAAGCTGGAGACTAGAAGTCTTAAAGAAAATTCACTTATTAGATCTAATATATATAAACACTTTGTAGTATGTATGGGTACCATGGTTTTACTTAAAACCTGAGCCACAATACTAGTTCTCTATTTGAGCTATGAGGTCGGCAAATGGCTGGTGAGCTTTGTATACAACACTAAGCAATTTTTGAGACTGTTCTTGGTTCACAGTTAAGTATAGCAAAATTGTAACATGTTCAAAAAAATATAGTGTTCTGAAATACTTATTTTGGGTTTAATAACCAGACTATTGAGAAAGACGAAAAATAAGGTACTTGTGGCAGTATCTAGATATTAATTAAATGTAACACGTGTATTAATTCTTGCAGGCCTATGTGAGTGAAAAACATGAAGGCAATAAGATCATTGCTTTTGAAAGAGCAGGTCTTCTTTTCATTTTCAACTTCCATCCAAGCAAGAGCTACACTGACTACCGAGTTGGAACAGCATTGCCAGGGAAATATCCTTTTTGTTACAAGTGAATATAACTGTCCACATTCACTTCTTTATTATATTATAGGACAAAAAAAAAAAAGACTAAGGTTGATCTTGATAACAGAAACATTGATTTCCCTCATCTGAAAAATGAGGAACTTGAAACAGTTGATGGATAAATCTTTGCTCAGCTCAGTTATACTGAATTATTCCTAAGCTTCATTTTGGCTTTAAACAGAGGTTAGTGCAGACGTGGTTCACATCAAAGGAAAGAGCTGTGGATCTTGCTGTCTTGAAGGTTTCAATACGGAGCCCTGCTGTCCAGGTCCCCACTTCCACCAACACAGAAGACAGTAAATGAAGTCTCCTGAGACAATAGCAGAGGCTCTGGACTTAGGGGACCAGGCTTTAAAAAGTGTAACTGAACATTTCTGAAATAACATTTCTTAAATGCTGTTTAGATCCAGTAAGCAATATGGGATACGGCTGTAGTTTTACTCTATGAAAATATTTTGTAAGTTACCTCTGAGACTTGTTTCCTTTCCTCCACTCAGTGGGAGAGAGCAACAATAGTTGTAATGATAGCTTCCTTCCTTTTTCTGTTTCTTCCCCTAAAATTCAAGACATGGCATACCTTTGTAGGCCTGAATTGGTAAGAAGGCAAGGCAGGGGCGATGTGAGCAATAGAAATAACCAGGAAGAATGTTTTTGATGTTCTCTGTGTATTCATTTACTCTTTCTTTCATGCATTTTACAGATACTTACTGAGTACCTGTTTACTGAACACCTCTGTGACGACTCGGAGCTAATTACTGTAAATACAGGAATTCTCCTAGCAGATACAGTCACTGCCCTCATAGAGCTTTTAAACTAGTAAAGGAGATAAACATTAGTCATTGTAAGTTTGATATTATTACAAAGGAAATATACTAGCAGATACAGTCACTGCCCTCATAGAGCTTTTAAACTAGTAAAGGAGATAAACATTAGTCATTGTAAGTTTGATATTATTACAAAGGAAATATACAGTATATTTTAAAGACATGTTACTAGATCCATGAAAAAAAAATGACAGATTCAGGACCTAGCAACAGATCAGCCCAATTTTTCCAGCAGGCAGTAGAAATAATGTGCTTGTCCCCTGAAGCCCTAACAGTGATTAGCATCTGCCACCTGAGCAAGGTGCCTGATGCCCACATGAAGTCCTATGGGTCAGGGTGTCTCCAGCTACAATAAAGAAACCCTCCCACTCAGCTGGCTCAAATAATAAGGAAAATGTATTTGTCACTTAACAAAAATCCTAAAGTCTAGTTTCCCCAGCACTGTGACAGTATCAGGTTCCCCAGTTCATTCTTTTTGCTTTCAATTCTCAGGGTGCCAGCAATGTCCAAATGGTGGCCCCTGTTAATAATCATTAGATAAGAGCCATGACTCCAAGTGTCACCCACCTTCAGACACAACAAAATGCAGACAGATTTTTTTGTGTATCTCTTCAACAGTGAAGTTACTTCTTTAGCAAAATTTCTTTCATATTTTGTGGACCAAAGTTGGGTCTTACATCTCCCAGAAAAATTTTCTAGGAAGAAAAATGATTATTACCATGAGTGGCTTAATCAGGAATGACCCCCCGAGCCTCAGGAAGACATCCCTTGGTAAAGTGGACACACCCAGACAGAATTTTACTCTGACAGTAAGAAGAAAAGAGCCAGTGCTTTTTAGTAAGTAGCCTGCAGCATCTGTCACCACCTTGTGCTGCTCATGACATTGAGGGCAGAGAGAGATGGTTCCCTACTTTCTTCCCACCCAGCTCCACAGAACATCGGAGCGTCTAGGAGAGGAGGCTGTAGTTGTGACAGATATAGCACGAATGTGCCCCCGTTAACCCACAGAATGTGCTGTGTTGTCTGTCTCTTTATGCCCACGAATAAATCAATGTGATGGGTTATCTGCACTAAAGAGTACAGTACTATTCTGGGAAACAGATGTCCTCTTCGTTTCCATGAAAAAATCCAAACAAATACTAGACACATAGCAATTTGTATGTGATCCTTCTCACCTCCAGAGTGCTAAAGTAATGCTCCTAGACTAAACCCTTCTATACTTGGTAGTGTAATATAATCATACCAAAGTACATTTACAGAATACCTGGCATCTACGGCAACCTTTGTTGTATCTTTGCAGCACTGTCCTTGACCCTTAAGTAGAGGGAAAGAAATGTATGAAACCCAAACTGTGATGTAAGTCTTAATGCAATAAATGGAAAAGGAACAAGGAGCAAGAATGTTCCATGGGAGAACAAAGGACAAGAAAAATGAAAAAATAAATGGCAGGGGAGAAGGGGAGAGATACTGAGATTAAGACAAAGACTTTTAAGCCTAGATTTGGGAAATGAACAAGATTATAGCAGGAAAAAATGAAGAAAGCCATTTCAGCTATTAGAAATCATAGACTATTCTTAGATAATGGACAGTACAATGGATTAATTGGAGAATGATGACTATAGAAAGAAGTATTAAGAGATAAAGCTGAAAACATAGATGGAGATCACATAATAGAAGATTTTAATGCCATATTAATTAGTCTTTTTTCTATGATTTTAGAGTGAATTGCTGCAAGTTTTTGACTAGGGAGCTACTTGATAAAAATGTAGGCTTTAGTAAAAGTTCTCATGTACCAGTGTGTAAGGGAGCGTTCATGAGGAAAGAGATTGGAAGTACAGATATTAATTATGAGAAATTGCAGTACACCTAAAAGATAATTAGGGCATGAACTAAAATAATGGCAATAGAATAGAAAAAGTTTATGAAGCCCTTGTAGTGAAGGAACTCAGGATCTGTTTGGACATGGAGTAAAGAAGGGAAAATGTAAGGTTTCACTTTGAACAATAGAAAGAATGCTGGTGGTATTATTCCTGAGGATAGCAAAGCCAGGAGAGGTAACCAGTTGGGGGAATAGAAAATATAAATTTGAGCAGGATGGTTGAATAGAACTCTCCAACGGTTGTCCTCCCTTCAGGAACACCAAATTGAACAACTATCCACACAAGAAAGTACCTTCATAAGAACCAGAAATGAGGTTAGCAATCACAGCACCTCATTTTAACATTATTTCAAGCAAAGAGGCGTGGAAGAGGGTAAGAAGGACAGTCTTGAATTCCCTATACCAACCCTCTCCCACGTCTTGGCAGCACCACGTGGGACATGGAAAGAGAGAATCTGTTTGCTTGGGGGAGGGAAAGCACAGTGATTGTGGGACTTTGCATTGGAACTCATCGCTGCCCTGTCACAGCAGAAGGCAACATGGGCAGAATTCAGCGAGCACCCACAAAGAGAGCCTTTGGCCCAGCCCTAGCCAGAGGGGTATTGCCTGTCCCAGCATTCGGAACCTAAGTTCTAGCTAGACCCAGCACTGCACGCTAAAGTACCCTGGGGTTCCAGATAAATTCGAAAGTCTAGGCCACAAGGACTGCAGTTCCTGAGCAAGTCCTGGTGTCGTACTGGACTTACAGCTAGTGGACGTGGGGTACGCAAGAAAGGAGAGGGAAGAGTGAAGAGGACTTTTTCTTATAACTTGGATACCAGCTCAGCCACAGTAAAATAAAACAGCAAGCAGAGACCTAAGGCTCCTATTTCAGGCCCCAGCTCTCAGAGGACATTTCTAGACCCACCCTATGCCTTTTAAGGGAACTTGCTTCCCTGAAGGGAAGGACACAGCCCTGGCAGAATTCTTTACCTAATGACCGAGGTAAAGTAGCCAAGTAGCAATTGCCACAGGCCTTTGATGAGACCCAGAACCGTGTTGGCTTCAGTTGTAACCCAGCACATTCCCAGATATGCATGCTGGCCCTGAGAAGAGACTCCTTCTGCCTGAGGAAAGGAGAGGGAAGAGCGGAAAGGACTTTATCTTGCAACCTGGGGATCAGCTCTGCCACAGTAAAATAAAGCACCAAGCAGACTCCTAAAGCCTCCAGTTTTAGGCCTTAACTCCTAGATGGCATTTCTCAACCTTCCCTGAGCCAGAAGGGAACTCACTGCCCTGAAAGGAGACATAGGTCTGGCACAATTCACCAACTGCTGACTAAGGAGCCCTTGGACTTTGAATAAACATCAGCAGTAGCCAGGCTGTGGTTGCCATGGCCTTGGGGTGGTGGTGGCCATGGAGAGAGAGCCTCCTTCTGCTTGAGAAAAGGAAAGAGAAGAGTGAAAAGGACATTGCTTGCAATGTGGGTGCCACCTCAGCCACAGTAAAATATGGCATGAAGTAGGTTTCTAAAGTTCCTAGTGCCAGGCCATAGCTCCAGCATGGCATTCCTAGACCTACCCTGGGCCAGATGGGAACACACTGCCCTAAAGGAAAAGACCCAGGCCTGGCAGGATGCTCTCTCCCACCACTTGCTGACTAAAGAACCCTTGGCCTTTGAATAAACATCACTGGTACCCAGGCAATAGTCACCGGAGACTTCGGATGAGGCCTAGTACTCTGCTGGCTTCAAGTGGGACCCAGCACAGTCCCAGTGGTGTTGATAATGAACTTGCTTGCTTCACCCCTTCCTCCAATTCCAGGCAGCTCGGGATGAAGAGAGAGACGACCTTTGTTTGGGAGAAAGTAAGGGAAGAGAACAAGAAGATTCTGCCTGATAATCCGGTGAATTATCTCAGATCTTAACTAAGACCATCAAGGTAGTACCTCTATGAGTCAACAAGAGTGGAGCCCCTTAATATAGATACCACTGCAATGACTGAAGACTTAGATCACAACACCCAAGTCTTCAAATACTTAGAAAACCTTCCCAATGACCAATATAAACAAGCCTGAGCTGTGAAGGCTACAATAAATACCTAATTATTCAATGCCCAGACACTGGCAGACATCCACAAGCATCACTACCTTCCAGAAAATCATGACCTCACTAAACAAAGTAAATAAATCACCAGTAACCAATCCTGGAGTGACAGAGATAGGTGACCTTTCTGACAAAAAAAAAAAAGCAGTTTTGTGAGGCATCTTGATGAAATGCAGTTTAAC